AATGCTGATAACGTGTGGAGCAGGGAGCTGCACACTGCTTTGTTGGCTGAATGACTTTACCAGCACAATACAGAACACCTCCCAGAGAGAGAGGAGAGAGAATTCGGGACAGAATGGGCTTAGCAGCCGTGCATCACAGTGAAGTGGAGGAGAGGGATCGTGTCTGCCAGCAGTCCCCACAAATCACCTGATGCAGGCGGACAGGCGAGAGGGCTGCCACTATCACACCCAAACAAGAAAAATGTCAGTTTATAATTAGTGAGCGAGAGGCAACACTGTTGGCACGGGAAGCCAAAGACACAGCAGCACTTCCAAAGCATTGCTTCAGTGCAGCGTGCTGTAGTATCCTCGGCTGGGGCGGCGGGTGACAAAAGCCTCCTTATAAGGAGACAGGATTACAGCCAGTGGTGGCCAGGCGCCTGGCAGCTGTCTGAAGACCTGCCTCCCCCATCGGCGTGGCGACAACGGCAGGCGGCTGCCGCGTGACAGAAAATGTACAACTTATGGGCATTTTCACCATCACAACAGGATGACCAGGGGCAGCCATTTTAAAACAGACAGCAGGTTCCTCTTCAGAAAGCAAGCCTACAGAAGGTATGAAGGAAAGGTGAGTGACATCCGCTTAGCTAGACAAGAAGAATGACTCCTAATCCCCAAAAAGGTGAGCCCGTCCACCAGGGTTGGGGCCATTCCGGAATGCATTGATCAATTCCAGTCCAAATCAGGAAATGGAACTGGAGCTGGGATTGGGAAAAAAGCTATGGGGAACAGAATTGGAGTTGAAATTGAATTTCAGGGAGATTTAAGTTCCAACTCCAGTTCCATTTCCTGATTTGGACTGGAATTGATCAATGCATTCCGGAATGGCCCCAACCCTGCCGTCCACTGAACAAGGAGGACTGCGTCCGAAGACAATGAACTAGAACCCCAAACTCACACTCATCAGCAATGTTCCTAGGGGCAAGGAAGCCCTTTGAGAAACTGCTGAAGATGACAGGAATTAAAGATCTCCAGATCAGATGGCTCATCAACGGTCGCATCACCCAGATGAAAGCCCTCCTCTCATAAAGGAGTGCATACAGCTACCATGGTATTACAACTCATAGGGGGCGCCATCTCATCCACGTCAGACCGAAAGATGAGGATCTCCTGTTGGCCAACATGCCAGGGCAAGCGCCCACTGATACAGGGCCAGACCCACAATGCAACACTCCACTCCACTCCCATCCCACCCACCGCCGCAGCAGCCTCACAGCCGGCTACCCAGCCTCATCGATCAGTCGTGTGACACGGCTGCCCCAGATCCGCCGCCACTGTCACAGAGGGTTTCCATTTTGGGGAGGGGGGGGGGGGTAGAGCACAATGCCGTTGATATACCAGACAGAATAAAACCTGACAGATACAATGCAAATAGCTGGATTGAAAATGTAACTGATGCAGGCCTTAAATCTGCACTATTTGCACAATAAATCACGACATTTTGGAGAAAGTAATTTTTAAACAGCACATACTATATGGAAGGCAGACAAAGGTATTTAAATTTGTGGCAGTAAATTCCACACATCCACCTTCCATATTGCTTATCCAGTGCATGATCACGCCAGAGCTGGAAACACTGGGTATCATACAGGCTGCCCATCAGAGAGCATGCACATACACAGGACAGGCAGAGAGATATAGAGAGAGACACACACACACAGTCTGACCACCACTCCTGAAAATGGAGTATTCAATTTTTACAAGATGAAAATGCAATTGAAACTTCTGAATTTAGTGAGATTTTTTTTTAGTTTTGGAACACACACAGACACACACACACAGACACACACACGGGCTCCACAGTGGATAATACTAAATACTCATTGTATGGCATCTGTGTTCAGTGTCGTTCATCTGTACACCTGCTTATACTAATCATGTTCAGGCTCATGCTCCCGGGACTCGTTCCAAACACTTCAGTCCATCCATCAGAACCTCAGGAGAACCCGAGCTTTGGTACTGAGAGCCATAACCTTCACTATTCCGCCACAGCCATGCTCCTGCTAAAGCCCGTCAGCTCGCATGCAGGCCTCTTGACCACCACTCCACATGTATGGCTTCCTGACGGTTTATCTCCAGTGTCCACAGGAGCTCTGTGGCATCCGAGCGGGAGCAGGCATGACGAGCCCAGCTGCAAAAGCAGGGGAAAGGCAGGACAGGGGCAGAACGGCACACAGGGCCCGCACAGGGCTCAGCCCGATAACGTGGATCACAAGGCGTCGGCATGCAATCGCTGCAGGAAAACACCACCACAGTGACATTTCATTAGGCCACAAGTAATGTGGTTAGTCAAGCTAAAAAAAAATTTTTTTTAAAAAGTAGCTGCGCACTTAATGTTTACCATTAAACACCATAGTGTCCACATACATCTGCTTTTATCACCCTGGAAGTGATGTGGGGTTAAAGGACAGTCAGAGAGGGGGGCGCCCGCGAGTCAAAGAGAGGGATGCAGAAGGAGACTGGTCACCCCTACGAGCCAATGAGAGCAGAGAAATGCAGAGAGAGGAGTCAGACCCATAAGCCAGTGAGAGCAGAGGGATGCAGAGAGGCAGGTCAGGCCCGTGAGCCAAGGAGAGGATGCAGGAAGAGGTCAGGCCCTCTGTCCTCCTTGAAAGGTCAGGGTTTCCTGAATCTCAGGCTCATTTCTGATGACAGCATTCCCTACCACAGGCATGCAGACTTTCATTATATTTTGAGGTCACCTCCACATCATCTCCATTCACATTCATCATCACTTCTTCTACACCTCAAACAAGAAACCAGGTCAAAAGGTCCATGACGAGCAACGTCTCAAAATTCTGGGGTACAGCCACAAGTTATGTACACCAAGCGCTGGGTTGGGAGTTTCAGATTTAAAAAATAAATAAATTAATTAAACATTGCTTTAACTTTATGGCATTTGCCAATAATAAAATGGGCAGTTTGGGAAATGCTCCGGTCCTGCATCACCTGGCAAGCAGTATGGAACAACAGATGCCCATTCCACACTTTGCAGGACAACTGAGTAGACGCCAGACTGCATTTTTCTTTCAACACTCTCCTGTGAAATAAAATGTTGAAGCTGTTAATATGCAGTCCAGATATACATCTTTTGTACCTGGGAGATGTTCAATTAAGCCATAATTGGTGCTCTCTTCATGGGCAGCTTCACTGAAACAAACAGTGAGATTCAGCCAAGGCCACCAAAGCAGGCCCCACCCTGAAAAGGTCTTAACCAATAACACCTGAGCATCCTTCTCCAATACGAAGGGACCTGACACCACAGACCCTAACCCCAGAGCAAGAATCATGCCAGGGTCACACTTTACTTAGGAACAACCTGTCAGGAAGGATCAGCTGCTATGCAGTCTCCCAGACTAAACATTAGCATTTGCCATGGCGCCCCCTCTCCATCCAGCTCCTCTCCAGGTTTTCTATCAGGATGATCTAGAGGAGCCAGGTCCAGAACAGGACAAGCTGCCAAAACCAGTCAGCTTGGGCTCCACCTGTCGGGGCACGCATGTCTGCCCTGGCTCATGGCTGCGTTTGCTTGCTGCTCTGCAGCTCGCCCTGCTTTTGGTGCAGACACACCCCAAATTTTAATTAAATCTGCCAAACAAGACGTCAGATAAGAGGGACTTTCCAGTAATGCCATTTAAAGTCATCCAGCTCTACCTCTCCAGCAGGTGGAGAGTGAGACAGCCCCGCATTACCCCACTAGGGGCCTGATGGGAACCTGAGACCTCTACATGCAAGTCAGCACAGCCTGAATGAAGAGCCTGGCACAGGATGGCAGGGGGCTGCCTCCCACGCCACGCCGACGATGACGGCCAGACCCTGCCAGTCTACTGGGTTCGGCCCCGTCATACAGTTGCATCCCATAAATGCACAAACCTAATGAGCCTCTAAGCTGCTTGCTGCAAAGATGGCTGCATTGTTAATTAAGCCTTCCCAAATCAATAGCAGAGGTTTCACTGCGCTGCAATAAAAACGAAAATGAACAGCCAATTAGAATCGGAAAACAGTCTAAACTCAAATTACCGAGTGACTGTGGCCTTGTTTGCATATAGACCCTGGCAGAGAGATCAAACCCTTCAAATGAGGACAGGAATCTAAGAAATTCAGGGGGTAAATCTCTCAGCGATCGCTCTCTCTCACCCTCACACACACACATATATATATGGACAGTGTCCATGAGGTGCTCCGAAAACCTTCTGCTGTCACAGTCCAGATACACCAACAAAGCTTTCTGGGGCAGCCCATGCCATCTAACTCACTCCCTCGAAGACCACCAACACCCCCCTTGCTCCACAAATACTACCTGAGAAATTTGAAGTGCCAACGACCATTAATGCCGATCAGTCCATTTTCTACACGTTTTCTTAAATGCATAAATACATACATCGCAGACAGGCGCATTTAAAACATCTGTATTCCCTTTTCTAATATACAACTTCAATCTCAGAACAAAAAAAAAAAAAAAAACAGCTCATTGTAGGTATGGGGCCCAGATACATTAAACAAACACAAAGACTGAGAAATCTGTTCTCAGCCTTATATCCAGGTCAAATCAAAACAGACCTGTTTAAAATCCTATTCAGCTCTCTCTGACATTCAGAAGAAATCCCAAGCCTTGGCTCCATTCCAGGATGACCAAAACTTTCCCTGAATACCTGATATGTTCCTGTTTTTTAGAATCAGACTGAGTGTCATAGAGGTTCTAAAGATTATACTGGTTCCTTCCCTGCAGTTTGTGTGTGTTCACAACACTTTTTTGCAAGGATTGGTACCAATGCACCTCAGAATGGGTGAATGGGCCAATAGGAAACAGCCCCCACGGGCAGCACACCAATCAGCTTTGACTGATAGGGTCAGATAGTGCCGGTATTCTGATAAAGGTTTTTAATAATCATTTGGACAAATTGCCTCTTGGGACAGCTAATGCATGAGCCTAAATATGTTCTTCCGGGGTGCCCCCCTACCTTGAAGTTGCTGGAGTTAACCCAGGAGCTGGCGATGCCATCCACCATCCTGTCCAGCACAGCCTGGTCCTGCTCCAGATCATGGGACTTCTCCTTGTCGGCGATAAAGTCTATGATCTCCTGGCCTACCTGCAGGCGTCGGCCCACGTCCTTCTGCATCACCTGGGCCACGCAGTACTCCATGCCGGCCTCCATGACCGGGGGCGCTCACAAGCAGACCACAGTTCCCCACAGCAGAGAAGGAAAAGGAAAAATCCAATGTATGTTTATGTGGTGGCAAACGGCGATGAGCCCTAGGTTTGCTGGGGCGTCAGCGGCAGGGCAGCGCTGTGGAGACGCAGGCCTGGGTATGGCAGCTATGTACCATGTGTGTCCAAGCAGCAGCTGCTGGGTCAGTGTCGCCCCCTCCTTCCTTCTCTCTCTCTCTCTCTCTCTTTTTAAAAAGAGTGTCACTGAGGCTAACAGCTAGTAGCAGTGGTAACCGGAGACAAGAGCCAGATGAGAGCTGTGCTTCATAATTCAGGAGTCCATAGTGGCCAGGCAGTCCTGTGGTCAGGGCAGAAAGGTAGCTTATCAAAAGGGGAACTTTCACTCTTCAGCAGAGCAAAAACAAACAAACACGCTGAATTAACAAGCACTGCGTGTACATGCCAGCCAGCACACAGCACGAGTAAGAAACCATAACCTGTGTACCCTCAAAGGGTGATGTCCCAGAAATGCACATCAATAATGTCACTGAATATTCCTGAGAGAAAAACTGCCCCCTCCCAGATCAACAGCGACAGGGGGGCCGCACACTGTGACCGGAAAGCCCCGGTTTGCTCTCCAAACCCCCGCCCCCGCCGAATGCTGGGTTCTTACAGAACCGACGGCAGACACGAGGTTCCCAGTAATGAAGGATGAGATGCTGGAACCGCTTGCAGGGTGAACATCCTAACGGGACCGGAGCTGTTTACGGGAGAACATCCTGATGTGTCCGGGGCTTTTTACGTGTACGGGAGGGGAGCATCGTTCGCCTCAAAAACCCCCCGACAGACGCTTGCGGCCCCGGTAAATGGGCCCAGCGCCGGGCAATGCCACACCTGCGTCCCGGGTAAATCTTGAGAATTGAAAGCACGGCTAATGTCGGGAGGCTTCGGCCTCAGAGTACATGGAGAAAGAGCGTTTATACCCTGTGAAAGCGACCGGCCCCGGCCCAGCCGGACAGGGTCCCCCGGCCTGGGGAGAAACACGGCGCCGCCGTATCGTTACAGACTGACATTTGGGCGTTGGAACCGGCGATAATTACCGGGGAGGCCGTGGCCTGAAGCACCGCGCCCGGCTCGTTGCGGGTAATTCGTGGGACTGATGACGGCTCGCTCCGCGGGCGGTTACTGGTCCGTCATAAGCCACCCGGACCTCCGTTTACACGGATGCGGCCACCGACCGTCAAGGATCCGCCATACGGAGACAGAAAGGCGCTGCAAAGCCCCGTCACATTTTACAGGCAGGAGCCGAAGGGCGAAATGTGTCCGGTGACCCCGTTGGGGCGAGGCAGTGGGCCGGCGGCGGGTTAACGGACCGGAGCCTCGGAATAACGCGTCAGGGGTCGGCGCTACGTATCCACAATGAACCGCGGCATTAATCCGGGAACGGCCACACCTTCACTTACCGTGCTCAGGCCTTTGCCACCAAAATAGTGAAAGAAATAGTAACTGATAGGCGAGCGCCCGCTGGGTCGTGCCCTCGGCTGTACGACGGCGGCGGCGGTACCGCGGCGTCGCTTCACCCGGACCGCTGCGGCTGGACAATAATGGGGCGGCGGTGCGCATGCGCAGAGCGAGCGCGCCGACGGCGAGCATGGCTCCGCTTTCTGCGCGGCGCCGACGCGCGTGCACGGTGATTAATACATAAAAAAAACCATTCACGTAGCATATTTTATCAATGCCTGAAAACGAGCTTTATTTTTTTTTAAATATACCAAAAATACTAGTATGATTTTAATTTATTGCCGAATAAGTCTGATAATAATATCAATCCGGGTCCCTAAAATGTAATGCTTTCGGTTTAAGATGTAATCTCCAACGATATTAACTTCTATCTTTATTACGCAAATTTTAACTGCACTTCAGACAATATAATTCCGTCAACATTTACCCTGCCTTGAGACTGAATTTCAGGATTACAAAAAGAAAACGATTACAGCACGAGAAAACATCTTAAAGCGACGTGCTTATATGATGATTCGAAATGGCTAATGGGACGTGTCCTTATTACAAACGACTGAGGTCTTTTCAGGCAGTTATATTTAATTATTCTATACTGAACGGCTGGTGTTTCTGGAAACGAAAAAGTTTGCGCTCCTCACTTTACCCGTAAGCTGATATAGCCTCCAGAGAAATTCCAATATTGTGATGATCATTTGATCTTTGTTATTGCAGAGGAACGGGTAATTAAATCATTTGCTGCATTTTAGCACAGATGGGCCAAGACGTTGACAAACCCTTGAGCAGTATCGGTGCGTTTTGGTTCAAGTTACAGCCCATCGTGTTCACGTTCTAATAGCGCCACCAAGCGGCTACGCACGTAGATACACCCGTGTTAACATAGCCACGAAATAAGAGCGTTTAAGGTCGGGCGGTAGGCAGAATCCCAGGCAGGGGTCGGCAAACTTTTTAAAGCAAAGAGCCATTTTTTCCTAAATATCAGAACCAAGATTTACAATGAGCTGCAATGGGTAGATAAAGGGGTTTGAGATACAATTTTTAAATGTGATATAAGCATAGGCCTATATGTATTTAACGAAAAAACAAAAATTCAAGCACTTATAAAAAATGAAGAAAACCAATTTCGGGGGGCATCTCAGTTTTAAATCACTCAGACGCGTAACAGCGCAAAGGTGACTAATAATACAATACAATTCAGTTCTGTAGCGATAGTCGTCAACCTCATCCCTCCTTTCGTTCGGCTCTGCAGTCGCCAGCCCTTCACTCTCCACTTCACTACTGCTGTGCTAACGAGCAGTGCAAATGTAGTCACAACTCAGCTGGCTATAATATGTAAACCGGAGGAAATATATGAAGACCTGGGAAGGCGTGGTGACGATTTACTACAAAAAGTATATAAAAGAATTAGGAATCCCAATAAATGTTGAAGCGTACATGGAATCAGATTTGTGCCAATATTATCAAGCAAAACTTTTTTGACATCAAGCAAAAACAAGGCTTCGAGAAGAAAAACAATCTCAGGTACTTAAGAAAACTCCGGAAAGCATATATACCATTTAACCGAAGACGTAATCTCGTCGTAGAGAATGACTTTAAGGAAGATGTAAATGATGCCGTTAAAACATCACAGAAGCGCGCGATGGACCGCCTCTTTCACATATAGCTAAAGAAATATCTAAATGAAAAATAATATTAACCCATAAATAAATAATTAATATTTACGAAAGTATTATCATAATTATGTTAAGACATGAAAATGTGAATGCGGCTATCGTTCTGAGAAGAGCCGCAGGCACGTGGTCAAAGAGCCGCATGTGGCTCGCGAGCCGCAGGTTGCCGACTCCTGCCCTAAAGCATAAACCCTGAATTCTCATAGACTTTGACGTCAAATGGCAAGTTATTGAGTGCGAGAGGCTGCAGGGGCACGATATGGTATAAATAAGAACGGGACAAACGTTGCAACAAGTCCTGTCACCTTGAAAATGCCAAAACATATTCCATAGTATTGTGGGTTTGGGACTTTTTTTTTAAGATCTGCACTTTCTTCATGGCCAGGGCACTTAAGGGACAGAATGGCTCATTTGAACATATTTCAGCATCATTAAGCAATAACTAAAAGAAAGTTTGTTAATGTTTATTTTTCCAGGCAGTGTGTGGCTCAGTGGGCTAAGACTGTGTGCCTGTAATAAGAAGGTCCCCGATTTAAACGCAGCCCCAGCATGTCTGCGGGTCCTTAAGCAAGGCCCTTAACCCCAGCTTCCTGGGTGCCCCAACAGGTGGCTGCCTTTTGCAGGCAGCTTACTCTACAATGACCAAGTTGAGGGAGGCGTAAAGACAATTTCCCCACGTCGATCAATAAAGGTATCCGTTATTAGCTCTTGGTAACCCCGTGTTTCACGCCACAATGCTATGAACTGTGGGTCATAGACAAATCTTGCAGAAATGTGGACTTATGGGAAGTGTGTGATGGTTCTCTCAGAGGCATTTTGAGCCTCTCATGCACTTGACGGTTTGACAATGGGACCGCCCTGAAGCCTCAAGGACTTAGGAATGTGCATCAAAGTTTGCAGACTGGGCCGTACACCACTCAATACTCTGAAAACATCTTTAGGTTAAATTAACAGCTTTAACACCCGTTTAGAAATATAACCTCCAGACCATCTTTGAGACATCAGGTCAAATCCCCATATAGGTTGGACATCATAGTTTTTAATGACAAAACCCTTTCTCAATGAAAAGAAGTAATTACACAGTCCTGTTAACCCACTAGATAGCTGGCTTATGAATAGGAAAGCTTTAAAAAAAAAAAAAAAAAACATCTAATGGTAACAAAAGATTCCACCACTGGGCCCTTGAGCAAGGCCCTTAACCCCCAGCTCCAGGGGTGCCGCACGCAGGCTGACCATGTGCCGTAACCCCAAAGCTTGCTCTCACCTGTATGTCTGTCTCTCTCCGGAAGTGCAAGATGGGGTAGGTGCCTGTGTGGCTGGAAGGTCGCCGGTTCATGCCCTGGCCTATAGATCCCTCTCTGTAGGGCCCATAACTCCCTGGATAAAAGACTGACCCTGCACTTAAACCCCATGCATCACCCTCAGCTGTTTACATGTGCTTCTCCAAAAACAGGACAATGGGATCTGCCAAAAGAAGCATTCCAGCGTACTTGAAAATGGCAATGATTTAATTTTCATTCTATATACAGAGAAGGGGGTGTCACATACAAATGAGACAAGCAAGATACATAAATTACATTTCCATTTTAATGTACCAACAGCACAGACTCCCACAGTCACACCAAACAGCACAGACTCCCACAGTCACACCAAACAGCACAGACTCCCACAGTCACACCAAACAGCACAGACTCCCACAGTCACACCAAACAGCACAGACTCCCCTAGTCCCCTTTTATGCTCTTCTTCCTCTTTGTTTTCCCTTTAGACACCGGTGCAGGTGTACTCCCAGCATCAGCCTGGTCACTTGCTGCTCCTGAGGATTTCTCCAACATCTTTTTCTTGCCCTTTGATTTCGGTGCAGGTGTGGCTTTAATGATGACCTCGTCATCCTCCTCGTCATCATCGATTTTCAAGGACTTCCTTTTCTCTAGTACAGATGGCGTGCACACTGGCGTATCAGCCTGCCGACATGCACAAAACCACATCACCTGGACGCCGGAAACCTAGAGCTTCTCAGTGCAAGTGGGCCTTCGTAGTCACAGCAACCACATTCAGTAACACAGCATACAGTGGTAAGAATTAACGCACTTCAGGACTATGGCGCTACATACATACATAAAATGCTGCGATATCAGATCCACTGTGGGCACATGGGTTTCACTGCATGCAAGCAGGCAGTGAGCTTAATGCACCTTTTTGCTGTCGGCACAGTTATCTTACCCAAAATGACAGACACACCTGGGGTAATTTTCACACTGCGCCACCAGGATGCAGTGAACGGACACACATTCCAGCTGAAGCTCAGGCTTTATTTCACACCCCCCCCCCCCCCACCCACCACTATGGGAGGTATTTTCTGCAAAAAATAAAATTGTATTTTCTTTTTATCATTTTAATCTCCACTTTTCCCATTTACTTTCCAAAGTATGTGCTCAAAAATCCTTATTTCACAGCTTAAGTTACTTCCAGCTTCCTTATAGGGGAGTGTTCGCAGCTGCACATGCTGAACAGTTTTTAGTTAAGACATTTTGAAATATGTCGTGCGATATAATGGCAGGTATGCCATTGTAAGGAAACACTGAAATTAGCTTGGGTCAGACTGCCATGTTTTCAGCTAGGTAGCTATCTGGCCTAGGCTAATTTCAGTGACATTAGAGTGGCATGCCTGCTGTTTACTATGCATTTCATATTTACCTTACCCAAGATGAATAAGACCTCCGCATTCCATTTG